ATAACTTTGTATTTTGAAATAACTTCTTCAAATTCTTTGGTCGTGGACGAAGCCTTCTTATTTTTCAAAATTTTAGAAAAGTTTGACTTTTTTCTCAAGTGAACCTGGCGGAAACAAGAGATACAAGCTATTACGAACTTGGCAGAAACAGCAGATCCAACAAGCGGATGATTTTGTGCAGTTTGAGATGGGTCGGAGTAAAGCGTATCGGTTGTGCCGCAAAACCAGAATTTGTCGGGCACTACGTCTGGAGGGTTTCCGCATTCATCATCAACAATACACATACTTGTCTAAAATCAAGCTGGAAAAGGATTGTTGTAAAAAACCAAAGTTTGATGGAAATAAGCAAATATTTCCTTCAATGCCGTTTAAGCTGACTTTACTTTTAAAAATATTTTTTTGCACTTTGTAAACTTTAAATGTTTACTGACGGCTAAATTTTTATCGAGAAGATAATTGCATTCAAAATCGTCATCATCTGTTCCGAAGGGATTCAGCAGTCCTTGTGCGACTTTGACCCACCCAGTGAAAAAGAAAAATTGAATTATTGTCATTATAGGCAGATATAAGTCGATCTGTAAGTAATAGAATGTATGTCTTCACTGGGGACGAAGACTTTTATAATTGTAATTTCTCTTGGTGTAACTTGGACTCACTTCGCTTTTGTTAGGAGCATCCTTTCGGTTGGTGATTATTATTTGTCTGCTGATTAGACATATACCAAAATACACATATACTGCTAGAAACACTGCCTGGAAGTGTAATCAGTGAGAATTCTTTTTCAAAATAAGGCCGTTATATGGTATAAACTTTCGCTGAGAAATATAAATGAAGGGTTTTTTTTTGCTACAACATTTGGCTGACCTGAGAGTAGACAAGTGGAAGTGGCACCCAGTCATAATTACATAACATCTGCAAATTGAACCGGAAGGATTTAATCTCCTGAAAAATGATACTGATCAGAAACAGCCTATGATGTTCTGTTCAAAAAAGATTATTGGATGAGAGGAAGTAGGTTATTCGGATGCTGTGTACCATACATCACAAAGTTTACTCGCAAGTATATCGTGAGAAATTTTTCCTTCTCTTCTGGCCCGAAATATAAGAGTATAAATCCAATTTGTTGGCGCCCAGTACTTGTCATATTTCAGTTTAATAGACTCAATTTTCTCCTTTTCTTCCTTCGTCGCAAACCCTTAAAGAAGCGGGAGCTTCAACTACATAGTCTGTAAATGACTGATGAAAATACTGAAATTGAAAATTTTTGCTGGTGAGGCGCTGCAGAAAGAATTGCAAAAAAGGGAAGACGCGGATTCAAAATTGGCAAGTTTTTACTGCCATTTAACAGGAGTATTAAATTTGGGAAGGGGGTTGTGGGGAACAGTCTTGTCATTTAAGGAAGGATTTTAAATTGAGAATTGGATATTGAGTAACATCTGTTTTTTAGGGTTTTTTGGCAAAAATGCTTATCTTTCTTAGAAATTAAATAAAGCCCTTATTCCTTCTTTTATGATGCTTAATTTAGGAGATTTTTAATTGGGTTGTTTCAATAAGGTTCTTGTTTTCTGTAATACACTGCAATTCTAGCAAGACAAACTATAGATCACCTGCTTTGACAAGACTTTCATAAGAAGGAAACCGTTTCCGAACTCTCACACTGATATCTCGAAATACTAGCGCTTGTGTAAGGCACATATATCGAGCTATCGCTCGTCGCAGTAAACGTGTTTCCTTGTCATCTCCGTGAACATAATTGCCAACAAATATTGCCTGGCTAAACATTTTTACAAGCGATTTATAGCTCACAAAGTAAGACCAAATGTCCTTTGTTTTATGAAGATAGTAGTCTTCCGAACACTAAAGAATCTTTTAATTTAATAAGTCGCAACGATGCTCTACATAAATTAGAAATTAAAGTTTCTATCGCTTTTAAAAAATAGTTTTTTTCCCTCGTTCCTATTTATTGCATAAAGAAAATTAAATTTTTTTGAGTTTGAGTTTAATATTAAAAATGTGGCTTTTGGGAAGTTTTTGTCGACGGACGACAAAGAATTTATCACGGCACTATGGTAATAAATAGTTATTTTTTGCTATCATCGAGTTCCGAAATTTATATTGTTAAAGCTGCCAATGGTCAGTATTAAATGAAACTGTGATTATAATGCAGGAGCTGTTTAAAAGAACAGGTGCTTAATTTATGTACTGGAAAATGGGACTAAATTAGAGTGACTTAGAGGGAGGATGAAGATTAGAGATAGATATTAGCTGGAATAATGATGTAACTTTGTTTAAAATGTGGAAAGAGTCAAAGTGCAGTTTTGTCCTCCGCCGACACAAGTATTATTATTGTCTGCGAAAAAATCTGGAACTAAACTGATGGAAGATTGATGAGAAGCGGCGGAGAGATGGATAGATGGTAGAAGACAATTTAGCAAAATTTCACCAGACTGCCAGTCCATTTATCATGTGAATATGACTTCTGTCGTTTTAAATTGATGTTCAAAAAAACGTTTTATGTTTGATTAAGTTGTAAGAAATGCCGTGCAGTAAGACATTATACATGTAAACGAAGTAATATACATTCTGTTCCATTTATGACAACAGTAGCTTCAATCATAAATCTTATTTTTTTCTTCCATTTAGTTCTTAAAGGTGTCTTGTAGTTGCTGAAGGATGATTTTGATGTTCAAGAAAATACGACCTGAAAAATACGAATGTATATTCCACAAGTGTATCCGCCACCAAAATTGTTATGTTACCGAAGGTAAATTAATACCTTTTGATTACTAAAAAGGAAATTCTATGTTGCCAACAATAGCTGACTTAACCGACTTTCAAAGTGATCTGATAAATTTTGATTTTTTAGCGGTAGAGAGAATGATGAGTCATTTCGTCATATTTCCCACTGTGTTGCAAAAAAAGGCCTCTCGTCGGGCAACAGGAAAAAGTCGAAGAGTTAAGACGCGCAGGTGGACTTAAGAGGCAAAAAGGGAGATGAGAGGAGAATAACGGGAAAGTTTTTAAGTTTTCTGCTTTATCTCAACTTTTCTGTCGAACATCAAAAGCAAAATTAGCAATGATAGGGCTTTTAAAGCTGTCAATTTTGAGACACTGATTTGCTTCATAGTTATTTAAGAATGAATAATAGGGATTTTTGCATAACTGCGCAATATTGATCAGTAATAAATCTGTAAGATGCAGAGCATCAGAATATCTTTACAAAAACGCAAAAGTTAACATCATGCATTAGATCCATCCAGAGTTTAGAAAAAAGTATTACCTTTCGACGTATCCCATGTTGTTAAATATTTCCGACCACCTCGAAATAATCGAACTTACAAAAAAACCGAGAATAAAAGTCAGTGGAATGTAATCCAGACGCTCGTTAAGATAGTAAGCCAATTCCTCAAAATTCCTAAAAAGTGGACTTTTATCATTATAAATTACGAAAAGGTTTTTTTGCTGACCTGCAGTCTCACATTCAGAGGGTCGCCTGGAAATCAGTTTTCAGGTTTAATCATATGCTAGGAATCAGCTGTACAGCAATGAGACTATAAGGCTTTATATAAGCAATTTCAGTCTTTTAAGGCCGTTTAAATAGCAATCAATAGTTTTTTAACACCTTGGATTGCGTTACAGTTTTCGTGAACAATGGTTAAATCTAAAAGTACCTGGAAATTTTTTTTATTAACTCACACTTTTTGCTGCGGACTTAAAAAGTAGTCCGTTCTGTAGAAGAATGAGATACAAAGGTAGAGAAGCATCCAAATCAAAAGCTCTTGGAATACAATCTTCCAAATACTCCCTTTCCATCGGAACAGGAGACGGCAAAAGGCTATCGCCGAAGCTGAGGATACATCGAGTTGATAAGATATTGTCATGGCACAGGTTATCGACGGTTCTTCAATATCATGCCTAAGTGTATTGAGAAAAAAATTTTAATTTTGCAAGTACTGAAAAGAACATGATCAAAAAAAAATTGACCAACTTTATCACCATGTTACAATAAAATGACTAAAGTAACTAGAAAAATCATAATAAATATTTATTTGGCGACTTTGATGACTAAATTTATAAAAATTCATCAGTCATAGTGGGAATTTAAACCAACAAATCTGTGTAAATGATGGTTTCCAAAACATTCACGCATTTTGAAATACTGGATTTCTAAAACAGAATTAAATATATGAAATAAAGCCCTTCATATTTCGCACACAAAACTTTCTAGTAACAAGTACTCCCCTGTTTAATAAGAAATTTTGCTACTAGCTGCTGAATACACTAAACTCAATTAATTTCAATTGTATTAGGAGAACGAGAGGTAAATGAAAGAAGTATAACAGAACTGGTGGAAAAGCAGCTCTTGGCAATTCTGCAGTTGAGATTCTACTTTCGATAAATTTTTTAATTGTCTCATTTAATTTTCATTCATGTTTGAGCTGGTGAATAACCACGGCATTCGGTGAGCAAAAGACGGAAACAATACTAATTATAAAAAAAAAGTAGCAGATAGCTTTCGTTTATTATTTCCTAAAGTGTAGAAAAGCTACACAAGAAAAAGACAAGCAATGTGACTGTTCTAAACGGTGTGTAAAAAAAAATACTGGAAGACAGAAAAATCTATAAGTGGTACGTAAACTGTATAACTTAGGCGTGAATCAGTCTCATTCTGAGAACATTACATTTCCTACAGACTTTTGCATTGGTCTTTGGTTACGTTTTACTTGCGAAAATGTGTCATGACAAGCCGCGGTGAAGCGTTATCTACAAGCTGAGCAAAGCCAAACAGACACTTTGTGCACGCTACGTTTTAACATTACAAAAGCATATAACGTTCTACTGACACTATTGAATTTGAACTCACTAACTGGCAGAATACCCAATCTCACCGACCACGTAGTCATCACTCCACTGTAATCAAAGTAATCACCTTTTATTTTTCTGCTCAAAAAACACTTCTCGTGCAAAACGAAGAGAAAAGTAAAACTTTTATTGATATTATCAGTATTATTACTGTTACTATTACTGTTGCTACCACCATTACTATCACTACTAGTATTGCTGTCATTATTACTATTACTATTACTACTAATATCACTGTTACTATAAGTATTATTACTACTGCCATTATTATTGTTATTGTCATTATCATTTTTATTATTATTATTATTATTATTATTATTATTATTATTATCCGTCACTATTACTATTTTTGTTACTACTACTATTATGATTACTATTGCTATTACTATTATTGTAACTATTACTTTTACTATTACTATTATTACTACTTTTAATATTACTGTTACTGCCACTGTTACCATTACTGTCGTTATTAATACCATTGCTATAACTATTACTATTACTATTACTAGTTCTATCATGATTGCTATTATTATTACCACTTTCACTAAAAGACTAATTTATCTATAATATTTGCATTTATCCATTAAAACTGTATGTTACCAATAAGTAATCTAGCAACTTAACTGTTCTAACAAAGAAAGAGAATAAATGAATGAATGAAAAGTAATAAAAACCAGATCAGTTGAAATACAGTCGAAAAAATATTTGTAAAGTTGGGAATCTGCAACACCTAACAGCGCCCAGAAGTGCAATAGTAAAATTTGGTAATAATGCACTGAAGCTGCTGCATTTGAATAAACCCACAATTTATACGGGTAATGCTCGTCGGCTTGTTTTCGAACAGCCATGTTAAGAGTACAAATTCAAAGTGCAGAGCAGAAAGAGAGACGAAAGTTTTTTTTTTTTTTTTGAAGTTTGTCATTCTTACCAAAGCTAGCGCTTTAAAAAATTGACAATTAGTGAAACAGGCAAAAATTTATATTTTTAAAGACCGTTTGAAAATAAGTAATATCTTAATTAATTAACGATATGGCAAGTGAAGTAATATACTATGAGGTTTGAAAGTAAATCGAGCTAAATATTGGCGACAGCAAATAAAAGAAAGGACGAAGACAAACAGTGTTTGCTTTTTTTAGCAAATGAATGAAATTAGTGCTTGCAGCACCTTCCCTTATGGGGAACCGCAGTCTGTTCATCTCATAGTTCTCAAAAAAACTATGTTAGTCTCTTTTTTATAGAATTAGGAAAGGTTCAGTGCTCACGAGCACCATATGCTTATAAGTGCGTTTTCTTTAGAAAAGGTATTTCTTTTGAAACTGTGTCCAAACGACTTATGCCACTTCTGTGAAGTTTTTTGTCGTTTTATTATGATTTCATAGCTAAACAAAGCAATCTTGTGCAAAAGAAGCCTATTGTGTATAAAAAATCTGTCTTCTCTGCACTGCCCGAATAACGATATTCACTTGAGAGAAAGACAGGAGAGAGGAAAAAAAAAGAAAAAATTTTGGATTAGTAAGATTTACAGTGAAACAAAAAGGAAAGCTGAAGGAGAAGGAGTGAGAAAGTGGAAAAGTTTTGTAAATGCTTTTATATTCCCGCCTTTGTTTTAGTTTCCAAGCGTTTAACGCCTACTTAATAAGTTTTACAAATTTTTAGAAATGAAAAAAATTATTCTTTTCTTCTTTTATTATTTGAAACCCACCCTTTTGAAAATTTAGCTTTAAATGCATAATATTCGAGTGAGTGATTACACTTACAGTCATCACTATGATAAGTAACACTTTTGAATAACCATCGATTTCACTCTGTTTACCGACAGGAGAGTTGAAAAGTTCTGTCGGAATTCCATTTAACTTTCAAAGAAAGATAGGCATAGCGAAATGAATACCAAAAAAAACCATATTTTGTTATTTACTGATCAGGCATTTAAATTCGACAATTTCCGCGTTTCCAACACCAGTACACTCCATTATTTTCCGAACACAAAATCACAAGACCTGCCTATAGTGCCGCCAGTGTACCGCAAGCTAACTGCGTTTAATAAAGCGCTTTTAAACAAGAAACACAGATGCCTGTCACTATACTACCTTTAAAATGCCCAAATTGTTGTTGGTGTCACTTTTCTTGTCTAAGTTAGGTTATAAAACTTGCTGGATTTCGCTGGGCTGAGCGAGCATTTATTTTAAAGATGTGGACACAGGTCAAGGCATCCAACTTCTAATCGGGAAGGCTGATAAGAACTGAGTCATGGTTGCATTCTGCCTGCTGCCCGTAACATTCTTAAAGCGCCAGAAACTGCATGTGTAGAGAATCTATTGTTGGGAGAATTAGTTCTACTGCAGAGCATTCAGAGAGTGATAGAGAAGTTTGCGATTTAAATCCTAACTTTCTCTCTATAGAGAAAGCCATTTTTGCTGTATTGTTTGACTGTATCAGGATCTGGGTCCAACCAAGAGTTCATTGTATATTTACAGGCTAAACACTCTAGTTTAGCGACTTCAAAACCATAAATGCCTTTATAGAACTACGCTCAAGGAAATGTGAATCAGACATTTGATTGTAACCACAACGTGGTGATCGATATCGCAAATGGATCAGAAAACCCACGCAAAATGAGCATACTGTCAAAGTCCGGCAACCAGTGTCTTCAGACTACTTCTAAACGTGCTAACAGCACTTAAGTGAATGTTTATTCAATAGGAATAGAAAATCACAGCAACTGCGGCACAACTTCGGTATGCGGCTTCCAGTTTTATAATCTAAATCACTCTCCAGTGAGGTTCAGAGGAAGGCACTTTATGATGCAATAATCTCAAGAGCAACAACTAAGTGCCGCCGTAATCTGAGATATCTTACCGAATCTAAGACGAATTCCAGCAATTTTATTGTTTTAACATAATCGCAACATAGTTACAACGGTTTGTCAAATGCGAGCCAGCTCAATCAGCAGAGTACCAAACTTGTAATTTGCTTTTCATGAATTCAAGCCTTGTGTGAGGCTACGCTAATAATTTTTCTCTATCTGCACAGAAATGAAGCAAAAAAATGCGTCTGTAGCTAGATTTGTCAAAAGCAGAAAACGCATTTAAGATCCCTTCTTTACCCTGACTTGCAAACACCACTCATTTAACGCTCAACTTCCTGAAAACAATAACAGTTTTGGTTGAGAAAAAAATTTGGCAGTTCAGTGAAACATGTCGGCGACATCGTTTGTCACTCCAGTGCTTTAGGAACGTTATCGCTTAATAAATAGCCTGTATGATACCAAAATGGAAAAGTGACTTTTAATTTATTAAACACAAACTCTACACTTGAACCACTAAGACACAGGTTAACAGCTAGTGAACGAATACAATTTCAAATCAGCAATAGCTAAGATTGCTATCACACTAATCACTTTATCACATTTACGATTTTTTCTTTTAACAGTGCAGTAGTACCTATTACGCAAACGCCAATGCAGAAAATTAATGACAGCTTCAAGATGACAAAAGAAACCTGTTAGTTCAATTTTGGCAAAGGACTTGATGTGTAACGTCACACGAGACCATTCATCACCATAATCAAAGCTTTTCACCTTTTCCACTCAACCAACTCTTTTTCTTTCCAGTCAAACTGTCGGTGAAAAAATGAATTCACCAAGTAACTTTATTTGATTCTAGAAATGTAAAAATGTCACAAATCACTTTTTTTTTTTCAACCCATTCTTTGCTCGTGACGCCTAAGGCGCATCTTGACGTTTATTTGTTTACGTAGATCCTTAGAAGCTCATTTAGACTGGTGGCCCCGTTTTTTTTTTCTCCGCCCCGGTGGGCAGGGTTTCTTTGGGAA